ATTATTACCATTATACAAGTAGGAAACTGAAGCTTAGAACATAACTGTTCTAAGTTAAATAACATGTCTTAATTATACAGCTAGACCCCCCACCCCCACCCCTTGGCAAGCTCATAATGCAAAGTCAGATATTAAGGCAGGCCTTCCTGATTCAAACAGCAGTACAGTACGTTTTCTTCTTCTGTAAAAGTCAGATATTAAGGCAGGCCTTTGTAGCTTGAGTTTTCCTGCCTGGCCCACAGTCAGGACAAATCTCTCTCACCCGCCAGTCCCACAGCCTCTCAGACCCGACCAAGTAAACACAGAGACTTATATTGGTTACAAACTGTATGGCCGTGGCAGGCTTCTTGCTAACTGTTCTTTCAGCTTAAATTAATCCATTTCTATTAATCTATACCTTGCCACGTGGCTTGTGGCTTACCGGTACTTTACATCTTCCTTGTCCTGATGGCGGCTGGCAGTGTCTCTCTCCCCCAGCTTCCTGTTCTCTCAATTCTCCTCTCTGTTAGTCCCGCCTATACTTCCTGCCTGGCCACTGACCAATCAGTGATTTATTCATTGACCAATCAGCAACACATTTGACATACAGACCATCCCACAGCAGGCCTTCCTGATTCAAACAGCAGTACAGTACGTTTTCTTCTTCTGTAAAAGCGAGTCCTTGTGCTGCCGGACAGCTTTAGTTGTTGAGGCCAACCGTAGGCAGACAGGACAGATGCACTAAATACAGGGTGACCACAGTTGTCACTGGGATAGTCCTTGGGAAGGAAGAATGTTGGGGGTTAGGGTGGTTAGGGAAAACTTACGGTAAAATGTAAACTTAGCTCAGAAAATGGCTGAACTACAGACAGAGAAGGGTTAATATGCATAGAGGGGAGAGGGTCAGAACACAGACGAGCTAAATGTGAGACAATTTGTCAAGAACTACAGGCTCAGAGGATACCTAGTTAGCATGAGAGAAAACTGAAGACAGGTTAGGCCAGCCAGATTACTGTGTAGGCAAAGGTGTTTGTTCCCCAGAACTCACATGGTCACTTGTTGGAAGGAAAAAACCAACTGCCAGAGTTGTCCTATGACCTCTGCCAATGTGCTGCGCACATACGCACACGCACACACACAAACACACACACGCACACACACACACACACGCACACACACACACACACACACACACACACACACACACACACACACACACATAAATGTTTAAAAAAACTTAAAAACAGATCAGAGGGTCTTAAATGCCAAACTGAAGACTAGGATTTTTTGTCTTGTGAGTGTGCATAATAGAAACCTGTGCTGAGTGTTTATCACATGCCATGCATTGTTCTAAGTGCTGTATTTGTGTGATATTAAAGATAAGTGCAATGTCCAAAGAAAAAAGAACTTACCAAGTTCACACCAGGAATAAGTACAAGAGACAAGCATGGAGTCCAAACAAGTTAAATCCAACTCCCGTTCCTGATTACACCATCCTATTCTGGTTATAGGGTCCTTGGTAAGGTTTCAAACACAGAGTCAACCTTAAAAAGTAATGTGCCTCACACATGGATGGTTTCTAACATTAAAAAAAAGACTTGTGGTCCAACAGCAATACTCATTCCTATCCCTCCCTGCCCTGCTTACATATCGACAGCCAAGGACACTAAAGAGTTAACGTATCTGTGCCCTCGGCCTTCAACTCTGCCTACTGTTCTGTGTCCATGTGTCTGCATTTCTGCATCCATCTGAGAGTGAACCTAAGATGTGTCCGTCTGTGTTAACTGTGTTCAGTAGTTCTCAGAGTGTGGTTTCTGGACCACTAGAGGAGCAGCATCATCAGAAAACTTGGTAAAGGTACCAGTTCTGCAGCCTCTCCCCACGTCCATTGAGTCAGAAACTGGAGGTGAGGTACAACAGTTTTTAGTGGGCCTTGAGTAGTTATGATGCATGTTGATGTTTGAGAACCATTGTTACAACTAAACTTTCAGTTCAGGAACACATTGCTTAATTTGTTTCTGATACTCCATAGTATGGGCATTGGAGAACTATTCGGCTCTTACTCTTTGGTTTTTGTTACTGGGACTTATCCTTTGACTTTGTAAGCATACAATATGTTTTAAGAGTAAAATCAATTTAAAGAGTACTCATCTTTGGCTCAGTGATAGAGCACTTATGTGCCATTCACAAAGCCCGAGGTCCAGTCCCCAACACCACTACAAGCTTGATAGATACTGGCAGGGCAGAATGAAAGAAAAGCACGAGAGGGTCATTGAAATGTGGAAGTAGTCCATGCAGTCAGAGTCACAGAGAAGGCTGCCTCTTCAGCCCCTTTGCTTGGTTTAAACATAAACATCCAATTTTTCTGACTGACCCAAAAGTGGTACATAATTGTTTTCTTCTAAAATTCTTTGAATAGAAATTACTGTGTCCAGTAAAATAGTAAGTATATCTATTCAATACCACTTGCTTCTTACTTTTATATGTTCTTTTTCATGTGTTTGTGGTGTGCATGCTTGTGTATATGTGTAGGCACATATATGGATACACATTTGTGTGCAAGTCAGGTGTGTGTGAGTGAGAGAGAGAGAGAGAGAGAGAGAGAGAGAGAATTCAAGATTGATGTAAGGTGTCTTCTTGGTCACCCATCATCATATTTATTGAGGCAGGGTCTCTCACTTGAATCCAGAGCTCACTAGTACAAGTAGTTGAGATAACCAGGTTGGTCCAGCGATCCCATTTCTGCCTCCTGCCCCCTGGAATTCCAGGCAGGCTACATGCTCACCCAACACACATGTGAAGTCTAGAGCTCCAAGCTCTGATCCTCATGCTTGCATGACAAGCCTCCTCTCCAGTCCTGCACGTTCTTAAGTACTTGTGTTTTCAGAAATCAGTTGAGATCTAAAAGCTGGTATTACTTTTTAAAAGACAGAAAAGCTATCTAACAGTCATTCCATGAGGTGTGTCTGTCGGTTATGAGAAATGGCATGCTCAGGAGAAACCAGCATTGACAACTGCTGGAGAACAGAGACCTGTCTTTAGTTGCCAGGTGATCTTGGCTAAACCTTTAGGTTTAAAGGATAAACTCTTCAGCATCTCCGACTTGGTGCGCTTTCCTCATAGGTCTCAGTGTCTCGGTCCTTTTGGTAGGTCTCTATAGCCGTGGTGGTTCTAATTCACCTTCATACTGTCTTCCTTCTTGTGTCTGAAGAAGAAAGGGACTGCGTAGATTTCTGGTTTTGTTTTGGGTTTAGAAGGTAAAGATATCTGTGTACTATACCATATTCACATGTTACATTTTATATTTATTTAATTCCATAGTTATTTTCTTTTTCTTTTTTATTATGTGTACGGGTGTTTTGTTGGTATGTATGCCTGAAACATGTGCATGCAATGCCCATGGATGCCAGAAGAGGCATTGTATCCTTGGAAATGAGTTACTGATGGTTTTGAGTCTCTGTGTGGTTGCCAGCAATCAAAGCCAGGGCCTCTGGAAGAGCAGCCAGTGCTCTTAATGGCCAAGCCATCTCTCTAGTCCTGTATTCTAGGTTTCTTATACAGAAAGATAGATCATTTCTTTCTTGAAAAAAATTGTGTGGTGGTAAAGACTGTTTGATTTTACTCCAGGATTGTACCACATGAGAAATAGTATGCACACTATGTGTGATTGTTTTAAATTTGACATATCTTAAATGGAAGAATTTTCCTGCCCAATGTAATTTTAATAACTGCCATACTTTCTCTAGCCCTAGACAACACCCATTTAAAATACTGCCTTAACAGTGATGTTAAGACATTAAAAGAAAGCCTTGTTACCAGATGAGACGGGGTAGAGTTGACATGGTTATGGAATTTGGTTTTTAGCTTGTCAAGTAAAGCTCCTTCTTACCTTTATTTAGAAAACATTTGCATTAGAATTAGTACTTTTATTAGTTGTATGAATAGTCTGTATGCACATGACCTCAGAGTCTTGGCAAAATCATGTTTGACCCCAGGTAGCTTCTTTTTGAAGAGTTAAAGTCTAATGATAGACTAATAGAAACTTTATTTTAAAAAATCTTATTGGTGCTGGAGAGATGACTTAGCGGTTAAGAGCACTAACTGCTCTTCCAGAGGACCTGGGTTCAATTCCCAGCACCCACACACAACTCAGGGGGACACAAAACCCATGGCAAAACACTAATAATGCACAAAATAAAATTTTAAACCATCTTATTTCCTTTGTTGTTTTTAAAAATAATGAAATACAGAAGTGTCTTAATAGAATGATAACATTTGCTTGATCTATATATGAGATTAAGTTTGAGAGATGCAGACCTGCAGTTTAAGAAGAAAGCTAACATTGATTTTGAGGCAGTGTTACTAAATTTGGTAGTACAAATACCTTTGAAACACAAGATAAGAGCTAGAGAGAGAGCTCAGCTGTTAAGAGCCCTTGCTGCCCTTTCAGAGGACCCAAGTTTGGTCCCAGCACCCACAGCCGGTGGCTCACAGCTGCCTGTAACTCCAGCTCCAAGGGAGCCAGTATCCTCTTGCCTCCCTAGGCACCCCCCCCCCACAGCTATGGGCCAGTTCTCTAGCTAAAGCCTTACCACTCAGGAGGGAACAGCTGTGTTTTGCCCTGATTCCCCTCTATCCCAATACTACTCTTTTTAAAGTCCTGCTAAGATTAAAGCTATGGAAAATACTTTATTCTAGTGATCTAAGATAAAATACGTGGTTTTTAAGAGGAAAAACAGTGGACCAAGAAGGCAGTGACTGCATCCCCTAGCTCTACCTGTGCCACCAATCCACTGCCCAGTGTAAGTTCCTCACCCTCCCTGGCCCTCAGTTTCCATAACTGTGGAAGTGAAAGATGTGTACCAAACAGAAGCTGTCTTCTGGTTCGGATGTTTTTGTGATTGATCTAAAAAATAAAGCCCTCTTAGATTCAGATCTTTAGCCTACACTGGTAGAAAACATTGTGCTTAAAATAATATCAGCCAAGTAATGGTTTTTTCAAACTTGTTCTTGTTTTTCAGAAACTCTGTGAAGGTATATTTAAAGTCCTTGTAAAGGATGTCCCAACAACATGTCAAGTGTCCTGCCTGGAAGTACTCCGCATTCTCTCCAGAGACAAAAAGATTTTAGTTCCTGTAACAACTAAGGAAAATATGCAAATACTGCTGAGACTAGCCAAGCTGCATGAGTCGGATGATTCTTTGGAGAAGGTGTCAGAGTTCCCGGTTATTGTAGAATCATTAAAGTGTCTGTGTAACATCGTGTTCAACAGTCAGATGGCCCAGCAGCTCAGCCTGGAACTGAATCTCGCTGCAAAGCTCTGTAACCTCCTGAGAAAGTGCAAGGACCGAAAATGTATCAATGACATAAAGTGCTTTGACTTGCGCTTGCTCTTCCTCTTGTCACTTTTGCACACTGACATCAGGTCACAATTGCGCTATGAGCTCCAGGGACTCCCGCTGCTAACCCAGATCTTGGAAAGTGCCTTTAGCATCAAGTGGACCGATGAGTATGAATCGGCCATAGACCATAATGGACCTCCTCTCTCACCTCAGGAGACAGACTGTGCCATTGAGGCCCTCAAAGCTCTCTTCAATGTAACAGTAGACAGTTGGAAGGTGCATAAAGAGGTAAGGTTGGGAAGAGTACACACAGCTACCTGGAATTACTTATCTGGGTTGCTGCACACAAAGAAGAATGCTAAGTTGGGAAATGAAAAAAGTTCCCAGTTCCTTCATTAGTCAGTTCTCTAAACTGCAGGGTATTTCTTAAGTCGTATTTTTTCAAGGATTGGAGAGTTGGCTCAGCAGTTAAGAGCACTAGCTGCTTTTCCAGGGGACCTGGACTCTGTTTGCGGCACCCACGTGGTGACTCAACAACCACCTGTAACTCTAGTTCCAGGGGATTTGATGCCTCTTCTGGCCTTTGTAGGTAATAGGCATGCATGAGTTGCAGATACACATGCAAGCATAACACACATGTGCATAAAAAAAAATAAGAATAGGGTAAAGAAGGACTACCATTTTGTAGGATGGCAGATGGTCTTCTGAGTTGTGTAATCATTTATCTTTTTTTGAGTGCCCTTCAAGAACGAGGTTCGAGTGCCAGACTGGAGAGAAAGAGGAGGCTAATGATAGGACTTGCATCTTAAAAGTTACGATAAACCCAGTCAGTTGAACTTGACCAACCAAAGCTGATCTGTTGAGAAGAGTAAAAACCATTGAATGCACCTGTCATTAGTCTCCAAGGTGTTACTCTGTAGTGCCATGAAGCCCTCAGAGGCCTAAAACCACAGCCAGATACTTAGGTTTCCATACAGCCCTAGGAAACAGGCTGCTTATACCAGAAAGGGGGAAATGCTGTAAACCACTCAACTTATTTCTAGACTAAGATCTTTCTCTGTGGCCTGGACCTTCCAACAACTCCAAGTGAGGTGGATTTGATAGTTTATATTTGAGTTCCGCAGGAACAGTGTGCTCAACATCAAATTTAGTTTGAGAAAGCCCACAGTTTTAAGTGAAGGGGACATTATTGTTCATCAAGAATCCTAGCATTTCACATTTTCTTTTTCATGAACTTGAGAAGAAAAAACAGTGCAGTTCAGGACCTGCCTTTGAGGTTACCATTTGCCCTGTCTATCTGAAGTAATTCTCACCCATGTTTTTGCCAGCAGCCTACTGGAGAAGGATTATCTCAGCGCAGCTATAGTGGGAGCACACAGGCATCTGAGTTGTACAGCGCAAATAGGTCTGTATTGTGAAACCGAATATTTGAAGCTGAGTGCTAACAGCTGTTTCAGATGACTGCAGTGTAGTCAGCTTTATGAGACTTGGCAGGAAAGGATGTGGAAAGCCCACATGCTCCATTTATGCTTTGAAACCAAATATTTGCAAGTATTTAAAATGTTACGTCTCTGCTTATGGTACCTTCTGTGGTTATTTTTCTTACACTGTTTGTTTTGGTGTTTTTAAGATCTTCATTTAGTTGTAAAAGCGCCTCTGAGACTGTTGGTTTGCCATTGTTACACTACACTGTTTGGATGCCTGACAAGATGGTTTCTACCTCAGTGGCTGCTCCACAGTGTATGTGTGGGAGGCACGTGGTAGGATCCGTGCAGTGAGATGAGCTTTTGGTAGTGTTTCAGCTAAGTGACAGTGGGACTGGAGTGCTCTAGAAATGGTGAAGTAGCAAAGCCTCGTTCGGTGTTCCAGAAAGCTCATTCTCCGAGACACAGGCTCTCCCCACAAAGGGTCAGTGGTCCTAGAATAGGTTTATCTGTGTGAGCCAGGGGGCAGTTAATACAGCTTTTATGAAGTATGTGTCATGAATGTGACACTGGGCCAATGCTGAAGTTTTCAGAGATATAAACAGTACTGAAAATAGGATCTTTGACAACCTATTTATAAAAGAATGTCTTCATGTGGCTCTGTATTCAACAGTCGCTCAGCAGATGTTTATAAACAATCGCTAGACATTGTCCCAGGCATTGGAGAATGCACTGGCAAATACTGAGCATTGTCTTTGCCTTCGTGAAACTTTAGTTTATAGGTAGAAACAGGCAGTAAGTCAGCCAATAGCCATGTTTAGTGCTAGGAGAGGGGAGTGCCAGGATGGAGACACTTCTGGATTAGCCACCTGCAGAATGCAGGACAGAAGTTTCCTAGAATTAAACACCATTTACAAGACACAGAAACCAAAGCACAGAGTCCCTTTTTCTGGGGTACTCACAGCTGGGCTCCATACAACGAGGCTGGGTGGGTGAGTCCACTTCCCTGGAACCACTGGCTTCTGTTTTTATCAAACCAAGGACAGTTACTTCAGTTCAGTGAGCCAGTGGAATGGCTGATGCTTTACATACCAACTGAAGTAAAGCGATATGGGAAAGCTACTGAAGAATCCACTTTTAAAATAAATACAATTTTTCTTCTTAGGGAAATAATGTAAACTCATAGACTATATAAGAAAAAGCCACATAAGGGACCAAAAGAGGCAGACTGCCTGTAAGCTTACCGTGCAGAACCAGCGCTGCTTGCTCTTTCCGGTCCTCCTTCACTGCGTAATGTGACCAGAAGGAAACATCTTTACAAAATGCAGTCACTTTGTAATCCCCATCTCTTCCCACGCTGTTCTGAAGAACAGTGGTCTTCGGGGCTGCGCGTGTGACTCAGGTGCACCTGTAGCATGTGTGAGCTCCAGATTTGAGTCTCCAACTTGCCAAAATCGTTTCTAAGAGTAAAAGTTTCAAAATGTGTTCCTTCTGGCAGAAAGGTCCCTAGGAGTGTCTCCTCGGTTCCTCATCTCTACATTGAAAAGAGAAATTTTAAAAAGAAAAAAGGAACCTTTGAAAAATTATAAACCTTTGGAAAACCATAGCTATTGCTATTGTTGTCTCTTTAAACTTGTATTGTAACTAAGATTTTGTTTGGAGAATAAAAGGTTCTGCAGCCAGGACAAGCTTGAGGGCTGCTCTCTCACTCAGAAATACTAGGATGATGAAGCTTACGAAAGAATACTTGTAAGTTTAAAAACACTGTGAGTATAAATATAAAAATAGAAGTCTTTGTACTTGTCAGCCTTTAACAATCCTACTTTCTCATGAATATAGTGAATTTTCTTGTGAAATCTATATTCCTGAAATTGATGGGCCAAAGATTTCAAAAGTTTTCAGTTTTTTAAAACTATATATTGCCGAGTGTGTCCATCCACACTCTTTTAAACCCTCGGCATCCAGCTGAAAATCTTTATGCCTGTGTTAGACTGACAGCTAAAGAAAATAGAGGTGTTTGGCTTTGGGTTGAACTGTTGAGCAGGTGTTTTCATGACTTCTCTCATTTACGTCTCACCAAAAGCAGAAAGTTAATGACTGGGTTTTCCTGAGGCTTCACAGATCAGTGCCGTTTCTTCCTGCCTCCTGCAAATGCATCATGGTGGGTTCGTCTGGAGATTCCCTGCTTAAAGCTGCTGTGCTCGCCACATGGGAATTGCGTTTTCCTCTCCTCCTCCCTCCTTTCCCCCTTTCCTCTCCCTCTGTCTCCCTCTCCGCAGTCTCTCCTCTCCCTCTGTCTCCCTCTCCGCAGTCTCTCCTCTCCGCAGTCTCTCCTCTCCGCAGTCTCTCCTCTCCGCAGTCTCTCCTCTCCGCAGTCTCTCCTCTCCGCAGTCTCTCCTCTCCGCAGTCTCTCCTCTCCGCAGTCTCTCCTCTCCGCAGTCTCTCCTCTCCGCAGTCTCTCCTCTCCGCAGTCTCTCCTCTCTGCAGTCTCTCCCTCTCCCTCTCCCTCTCCCTCTCTCTTCCTTTCTTAAGGCTTTGAAAGAGTAAGATGGCATCTCTAGCAGGATATACACTCACTTCCAGAAAGGTAGTTTTAAAATGGTCTTGTTTTTCCTATTTTATTTTCCCCAAGATCTCTGTTGATGGAGCAATTCGTGTTCTGCAGAGATCCCTGACTGCGTTCCCCTTCCCTTCCCTTGTGCCCAAGTGTCATGCAGTAAGAAGAAAGCCCAGGGCTCGGCAGACAGCTGGGTGTAAACGGAGAGGTCAGAAGATGAAGCGCGCGGAACAGGAAGCTCTAGAATCAGTAGCTGAGCATGCCACATAGGAACACAAGGCTTGTCCTAGAGAATTCAAGGAAACGTGGAAAAAGATAAGAGCTCAGCTGTACAGTGTTTGATTTTTGAATCATTTCAGCAATTTCCTATTTCGTGCTAGTTTGAGCCAGGTTTTAAACAAGGCACAAATCCAAGGCGAAGCGTACGTAACCTGCTCTCAAGGCACTAACAACCTAATAGAGAAAAGCATACAGACACAGGTAAATAAATGCACAGTTGCATCTTACTGCATGTCTGTAATAGAGCTTTATTTTATGTCTCTAAAGGCCAGGAGTCCCAAACAAAGAGGTCATATCTGGAGAGGTCCCCCATACTGTGTCATGAGGTGGTAGAGATGTCACATGGGGGGAAAGCTTGCATAAAAGAGCATGTGGATGTGTGAGGGCCTAGAGTTCCTCAGGATATATTCTGGTGCACACCTCTGCCGGCAGCAGTCACCTGTTCATTAGTGCAGAGCCCCCGGAACTTAAACCCTTGTGTTTTCTGCCTTGGTTTTTCGAGACAGGGTTTCACTGCATAGTCATGGATCTTGCTCTGTAGACCAGGCTGGTCTCAGACTCACAGAGATCTACATGCCTCTGCCTCCCGAGTGCTGGGATTAAAGGTGTGCACCGGCTGACCTTAAACATTTCTTAAGAACCCTATCACCTGTGTCCATTGCCACAGAAATTAGATTTCAGTGAGTGTGAGAGAGACTTTTCAAACCAGAAGAAGCTGTTTCTTATAGTGTTCACTATTTTTTCAATATTCTGTACACTTGAAAAGAAAGAACCTCTTTAACCGTGCATAGCAGAACCAGATGCCATATATTCCAGGTTTTTGGGCTTTCTCTCAGGCATGGGTGAGCTAGGCCAGCCTTTGGACGACTGTTTCTGCTCCTGAAGTGGAGTCTGGCCCAGTTTGCGGGAGAGAGGGAGTAGTAGTAAATACTAGACTCTGATCCAGAAGTGGAGTAGTAGTAAATACTAGACTCTGATCCAGACAGGCGACTGTGGAGACCCCACTTTCCTGTCTTCAGTTCACTTTG